CTGAGGGCACCCCAATGGGCTCCCCCCTTTCTCCAGTTATAGCTAACATTTTCATGGAGAAATTTGAGACTGACGCCATCCAGACTGCCACTCTGCGCCCAACCTTATGGAAGAGGTACGTGGATGACACTTTTGTCATCTGGCCACATGGCCGGCCTGCTCTAGACCAATTCTTCGACCACATCAATTCCATACACCCAGCCATCAGATTTACCATGGAAGTCGAAATAGATGGCAAGATACCTTTTTTGGATGTCCTAATTAAAAAGAGACCTGATGGTTCAATGAGCCACTCTGTCTACAGGAAAGCTACCCATACGGATGCTTATCTGAAACCGGATTCCCACCACCATCCATCACAGAAGAATTCTCTCATCAAGACTCTGTATCATAGAGCCCAATGCATATCCGACCAGGAACACATAAGCAGTGAACTCAAGCACGTACACCAAGCTCTTAGGGCTAATGGTTACTCCGACTATACAATCCGCAAAGCTATCACTCAAACCATGAAGAAGAACCCTCTTGAGGAGCCTTTCAAAACCATCACTTTACCCTACATTGCTGGGATCACAAAAAAAAAAATCTCCAAAATCTTGAATAAACACAAGATCCAGGTCCGTTTCAACACATTACATAAAATCCGTGATCTGGTTCCGTCTGTAAAAGATGTGATTCCGGACATACAATACCCTGGTGTCTACAAACTAAGTTGCCTCTGTGGTAGTAGTTACATTGGAGAAACCAAACGCCATATCTCGGACCGCATTCGTGAACATAAAGCAGACCTTAAACACGGTAGGACCAACACCTCGGCCGTAGCAGATCATTGTTCTAATTCAGTAGGCTCACATGCCATTGACTTTTCCAAGACGGAGGTTCTTTGTAAGCCATCTGGCTTCCATGAGAGATTCGTTCATGAGGTTATCCACATATACAAGCATAGAGACAATTTCAACCGAGAAGATGGATTCTATCTTAGCAATCATTGGAAAGATTTGATAAATCATTTCAGTTCTTAATTGATTGTTCACGCTTACAGTGGCTTTCAGACAGCATACATAAAAACAAATTTCGTCTCCCCCCTCCTCTTTTCAAAAAAAATAATAAAAAAAATAGATGGACTAGTCCTGGGCAAACGTCCAATCGTTGCGCGTGACGCAAACGTTATTTTTATATATATATAAATAAATAAATATGCCTTTTCAAAATAAATGTATGCAAACCGACACACCTGATGATGACCGTTTGAGTTATGGTCGAAACGTCGTGAGAATTTGTTATTGTTTTATATATATTTTGTTATTTTGTTGTTTCTCTTCAACGTGACTTTACCGAAAAAACTAAGAATATGAATTACTGCAGTCACGAAAGCTTTAAATCAAAATTTAATCGCCTCTACGGGGAGGGTTTTCACATAACTTTAAGATCCTTCAACAAACTCCGGGATAAGAAAGCTCAGCTGATCGAGTCTCTCACCTTCCTGAAGAGATGCCGCGACTCTGGGGTAATACCAATCGCATTTACACTCACCTCTGCTACTGTAACTTCTTCTAATGCGAAACGAATTCTTTTCAAAACTAGCTTAGCTCTTATCTCAGAAAAAATCAGACTTATACGCACAGAACTAGATCAGTTAGACAAGACACTCTACAAATCACACTTATCATTGACGGCAATAATGTCCACATCGGATTGGGAACATGTAGACAATATGACTGCCTCTTCAGCTGCTACTATGTCGACCAAATGTAAGGAAAACCTGATTTCCAAATTTAACCTCCTCTTCAACAAAAGACCGGACCCACACACCAAAAAGTTAGACGTTAATAAAGTCGTAATTAATCGCAGTAACAGTTCTATTTCCGATGGTCTGAAATCCGTTTTAGCTAAAGGTCTAAACTTTGCAGTCACACCTAAACACATACCAGTTAATGATATAATTGCCCAAGTAGACGTTGCTCTCAGGGGCCTGGGTCACATCGCTGCAGACGTAGCAAGATCTGAAATCGCTGCAACCCTCAAAAACGCTAAGATGCCAGCTAGCAACCTCAGCAAAGATGAGCGTTTTGAATTATATAAATTAAAAAAGAGGAATGATATTGTAGTTCTCTCAGCTGACAAAGGCAATGCTACTGTCATCATGGATAAAATAGAATACAACAACAAAATTAAAGAATTACTCGACGATGGTAGTTATACAAAAATAAAAAGAGATCCCACCAACAGCCTCGTCACACAAACCAACAAAATAATTTCTGATTCAACCGCATTAATTGATCAATCTAAACAGTTTTCGTTGAAACCTTCTGCTGCCAGGCCACCAAGATTATACGGCTTACCAAAAATACATAAAGTTGATACACCTCTTCGTCCCATAGTCTCTACTATCAGCTCCCCCACCTACAAACTAGCTCGTTTTTTGTCTGAAATCCTGCGTCCTTTCACTGGAAAGACCACCTCTGCGGTACAAAATTCTACTCACCTGGTATCAACAATCAAGGGTATTTCCCTGTCCCCAGACGACCTGCTTGTCAGTTTTGATGTAGTTTCCTTATTCACCAAGGTTCCTGTACCTGACACCATTGCAATCATTGAAGACTTGGTTCATCAAGGACTAAACACTGAGGTACCCCCCCTGGTGAGACACTGTTTAACCAATACATACTTCACTTGGAATGGAACTTTCTACAAACAAACTGAGGGCACCCCAATGGCTCCCCCCTTTCTCCAGTTATAGCTAACATTTTCATGGAGAAATTTGAGACTGACGCCATCCAGACTGCCACTCTGTGCCCAACCTTATGGAAGAGGTACGTGGATGACACTTTTGTCATCTGGCCACATGGCCGGCCTGCTCTAGACCAATTCTTCGACCACATCAATTCCATACACCCAGCCATCAGATTTACCATGGAAGTCGAAATAGATGGCAAGATACCTTTTTTGGATGTCCTAATTAAAAAGAGACCTGATGGTTCAATGAGCCACTCTGTCTACAGGAAAGCTACCCATACGGATGCTTATCTGAAACCGGATTCCCACCACCATCCATCACAGAAGAATTCTCTCATCAAGACTCTGTATCATAGAGCCCAATGCATATCCGACCAGGAACACATAAGCAGTGAACTCAAGCACGTACACCAAGCTCTTAGGGCTAATGGTTACTCCGACTATACAATCCGCAAAGCTATCACTCAAACCATGAAGAAGAACCCTCTTGAGGAGCCTTTCAAAACCATCACTTTACCCTACATTGCTGGGATCACAAAAAAGATCTCCAAAATCTTGAATAAACACAAGATCCAGGTCCGTTTCAACACATTACATAAAATCCGTGATCTGGTTCTGTCTGTAAAAGATGTGATTCCGGACATACAATACCCTGGTGTCTACAAACTAAGTTGCCTCTGTGGTAGTAGTTACATTGGAGAAACCAAACGCCATATCTCGGACCGCATTCGTGAACATAAAGCAGACCTTAAACACGGTAGGACCAACACCTCGGCCGTAGCAGATCATTGTTCTAATTCAGTAGGCTCACATGCCATTGACTTTTCCAAGACGGAGGTTCTTTGTAAGCCATCTGGCTTCCATGAGAGATTCGTTCATGAGGCTATCCACATATACAAGCATAGAGACAATTTCAACCGAGAAGATGGATTCTATCTTAGCAATCATTGGAAAGATTTGATAAATCATTTCAGTTCTTGATTGATTGTTCACGCTTACAGTGGCTTTCAGACAGCATACATAAAAACAAATTTCGTCTCCCCCCTCCTCTTTAAAAAAAAAAAATAGATGGACTAGTCCTGGGCAAACTGCCAATCGTTGCGCGTGACGCAAACGTTATTTTTTTATATATATAAATAAATAAATATGCCGTTTTCAAAATAAATGTATGCAAACCGACACACCTGATGATGACCGTTTGAGTTATGGTCGAAACGTCGTGATAATTTTTTATTGTTTTATATATGTTTTGTTATTTTGTTGTTTCTCTTCAACGTGACTTTACCGAAAAAACTAAGAATATGAATTACTGCAGTCACGAAAGCTTTAAATCAAAACAAGGGATCATGTTTACAATAACCACAATACAAGTAGTCAAAATGCAAACAGAAAGAAACAACTCTGATAATGATGTGCACTGTGCTTGAAATTGATTGGTCCACACCCGAGACAGCTTTTCTTAGAGCCTAGTCTCACACTGGTGTTGGACCAGATGACGCCAGAAGGTGCCAGATAAAAGGGTAAAAACCTATTACTATATCTTGCTACTGGCAAAGAAGGTCTGCCTTCTGGCGTCATCTGGTCCAACACCAGTGGAGACTGGGCTCTAAGAAAAGCCGTCTCGGGTGTGGACCAATCAATTTCAAGGACAGTGCATATCATTATTAGAGTTGTCTCTTTTTGTTTGCATTTTGACTGCTTATGTTGTGGTTATTGCAAACATGATCCCTTGTATAAAGGTGTCAGTTTTGGTGCCAGATAAAAGGGTAAAACCCTATTACTAATCTTTGCACACTTATATTAGGGTTTCAATGGAATGCAATTTTTTCAGACCAACTCTGTGGGTCGCATCGATTTGTGAGGCTACACTTTTACTGACGACTGTCTGTGCGCTTGACACGGGTTGAGGTTTTGTTTGTAAAAAATAAATGCGACAAGGATACGTTGCCTGGAAGGCCCCATTGGATTGTACAAATGGAGTTAGCAAAACTGTCCAAATGGGGATAGAATAGATGGGAAACAAAACACAAAATAGGTTGGGAAGAACGAGGTGAAATAAAATTCGTAATTTTATCGTGAAAATTCACGAATTCCTCCAGGATATATAATGACTGGCCTATTGTATATTAAAAAAACATGCTTACACGTGCTGTTTAAGTTGCTATGTTATATCAGTGTGTCCCGCGTTCTGGTATTGTAAATGTAACCATTTAATCGATTGGAAACATTTCCAATACATGTATTCCATTTGTTATCTCCCACAGGGTTTGAACTGTGAATTCAACTATGATGACTGTCTTATTGAAATATGCCCCGAAGGATACCTTTGTAAAGACGGCCTTAATAATATCACTTGTGTGTCAGAGCCTTCCAGTTTAATGCCTGACATCAAACCGAATTTTGCATCGCATATTGATCCGCAGAGTGTGTTCCCAATCATGGAGCAATCTTCTGGACCAATTGAGAAATCTTTACTCAATGTATTATTTACCCTGCAGCCTTCCATTTCAATGGCGAGAGCATTGAAACAGACAAATTCGGGATCAACCGATATGTTGATGACATCACCGTCGGAGCTGTTCCCCTTTCAATTTAACGCTTTAGATTCAACAACGCCAACGACGCAGAGTGTAATATCTACAGAAGTGACTTCCGATCAGACACCCTCCAAGACCACACAGCACCTTGACAACATGCGTAGGAATCTAATTTCACCGTTCAACAAATGCACGACAACCGCCGTTTTCGATGAGGAATTTCCAGGATCGCATTCGTGGCCTGGTGCCAATTCAGGGATGCACATAACGCGTCCGCTTCCGTTCACGGAAGAACCAAAGACCTTGCCATTGCCAGCGGTCGCCAGCTTAGAGAAACCAATGACCGATCGGCGAGCATCTTCACAGTTTCCTTCAACCGGCGCTGTGTCAGGTGCAGCGGACCCGCCATCGTCACCCGGTTGGGCAGCCACCCGAGCCGTTAAACCTTCAGCTGTGACATTAAGTTATCGTCAAAGGGACGGCACAGTGGCCAGCCAAGAGCAGGCCGGTCACTCCTCGTCTCCGACAGAACCCGTCCTCCCATCCTTCCAGTCCAGCGCTCAGCTGAGGAGCGATATTGAGCGAGACCGTTATGTGTGGTTGCGTCCGTCTCTGCAAGCCGCGTCCACGGAGATGTTTCTCCCAGGGGATGCTTCCGTGTTGCCGGAGCGAATCTCCGCGCGTGCTGCTGGTAGGTCCGGGAATGGGAGCTCTTTAACACGCGTGTCTTTATAGCTAAGGTCACGCGAGCCTATGTCATTAACGGCAGGCCTCTAATGCGAAGGATCTTTTTTTTTCATGAGACGTTATACGTATGACTTTTAATGCACGATATTGTGAAAAATGCCATGTGAAACAGTTAAGTCAGTATGTATATGTTAATGTTCTGTTTCTTTGGTTAATGTATGTCGTGTGTATTGCACGTGTGTCTGTGTGAATGTATGAATGCAAAATGCCACCGCGATCTAAACCCAAGATGTACATTGTCGAACGTTTCGTTTACAACATTTTAATGACCAAATCCTAACCATGTTTTTTGAAGCTGCAAAACAAGTACATTCTGGCAAATGCCACCTTAGTATATTTTACTATGTTGAGCAATGCCATCATTTAACAGAGGACACTGACCACGTCTCATACAATATGCACACAGTACAGTACTTATTGAAATGCAGAGGTGAACAATAGCGGGATTGCAATCGATTCCTTTGGAAATCTGCATGCGATAATGGAGTGCAACACAGTGATTGTCATATACCACCATCTGTCGCACGTGGATTGTGAACGTCGACTTTGACCGAGGACAGTTCAACGAAATCGGAGCGGTGCACACCTTCAATGACACCGAGAGGCCAACAGATGGGAACACGTGGGAACCGAGAATGAATACAGCTCAGAGGCATCGCCAAGTGGGTTTGGGTAGGACACATCAACAGAAGGGACGAAGGCCGATGGATGACAGAATGGCAGACAAAGTAGTGGTTAATGCAGACTTGATGCCTTGCAAATGGGGACATATTTGTTTGAACATCTTAACACCTCCTGGTTTTTTTTGCCATAAAAGGTTAAAAACCCTTTCCTTAAAGTAGATATTGACCACTCCAGACAGGGAGCAGTGGAATTAGTTTATGCACAGGCGTGCAATGAATTGTGGCATCGAGGATAGTGAGGGATTTTGACTGTGCAGAATGACCTTAATAATAATGTGTTATATTTTACCCAAGGACGCCTCACTGAGTCTGTCGGCTCTCTTAGCATACAATACTGTGTTCCTTCCCTTCACTTCCCCTCTTGTTTCCTTATTAGTCCAAAACACAGGACTTACTTACACCTGTACCTAACCTTTTTCGAGCACCCCTTGCTCTCATATGATATTTGTTCTGTTTTTTTTATTCCAGTGTGTTTCGTTTACGATCATTAAATACCTCGTCTGTTAGTTGCGCAATATTCCTTAAGGACCCTGCACTCGTTCTCTGTAACATTGATGCTTTTGTCTTTTCTTTGTTGTTGTTGTTGCTGTTGTACTTGGATCTCCCTTTTGTAAGAGAAAAAAAAAGGCCAGACAACTGACTAAACGGGATTATCCATGTAGAAAATCAAAGTCAACTAAACTCAAGTGAGAGGATACCACGTGCAATGCACACAAGCAGCACAGATACTCGAGTGCCGTTACTGAGCGTGGGCTCTGTTCTTTGTGTACGGGTTTTGCTTCCGCTTCGCGCGATGGCTCGTGCAATACGAGCCGTTTGCCGATTCTGATGAAGGTTTCGGTGAAATGACAGGGTTATTATGGTAAAGATGTTTTATCCCCCCCCCCCACCACTGCCTTTGGTGGCCTGTGAGAGCCGAAGATAAAACGCTTTAATATTCTGCAAAGGGCCTCGATGTGCCATCTCGGGCATAAAAGCAGGTTTCCATCACAGCCATGCAATGATATCCATTATGACCACAGTGGCTTTTTCGTACTCTGTGGCAGATATTGGCCAAAAGTACAATGTTTTTGGGATTTAGTTTGGAACACAGCGATATTGCCGTTTAAGCAAACTTAAATCCAGAAGCGTGGCACACTTTGTACTTTCTACTCTTCTGTAGTTTGTATTCGTTGAAAACTATATTCTAAAACCTCCCCACATTGCACTGACCTTTTAATATTTTTTTATACACAACCCAGGATATTTTTATTTGAAAGATATTTTCTTGACTCGATATATCAGTCTTAATGTTTCATATATGTCAAATTATTTCCCCACTCAAACTAGAATAGGTCAGTGCTCAAGTCTAATGACAGCACAAAATTCTACATTCTCATGGAAGTGGCTATGGTTAGGATTACGAACGGCATTCATTTAGTATCGTGCATGCTATTTAATTAAGTTTTTGTAATTTTGACTTCTATGATTTTGAATGTGTACCGGATAATGAAATGTTTTATAAAACTATCTACTCTCAGGAGGTGTGATACGTCGCGTTAGTTTGACCGCTGTAGCCTTGAGCATTTACATTGAATCGTCGGAGCTTAAAAGGCATGGTTCAGTCTGACCCGGGCAACATTCAGCTTATGTGAAGGCACTTTTTTCTTCATTTTATTAAACTAATACCTATTATTGGCGGCAACATTATTTTTTCCGGATGTGGCCATGTCTTAGCGAGTGCACGCAGTGGCTCTCTGCTTCACTCATCTGTCACTCATCCTTCACTCATCCGTCACTCATCGCTTCCTGAGCACCACTGCTATGTGGCACTCTCACGCGGCAGACTCCATTTTGAGATCCTTGGATGAAGTGCGCCATACAAATGTAAATTGTGATTATTTTTTTACCATGGTGTCAAATGTATATATTTAAATCACGATTTTGTAACTAAAAGTAAACCTAAAGGTGCCATTGATTTTAATGTTCACGAACTACAACCCGGAGTTAAAGAGCTCCCTTTGATATAAACCTTACATAACGCGTGGAAAAAAACGATCGGGATACAGACATACATTTATAATAACTTTTGATAATACTATTTATATCTCACTCTCTCCCTGAGAGATAAACTATTTTTTTTTAAATCAATTTATGGATCAAATAATGATGTCTTGGTAGATTCTATGTGATCAAGTAAAAAATAAAGCAATCTGATCTGCCAATCAGGACGTAATCCGATAACAACATTAGGTCATGTTCCAATTTTGATCACCAATATTAAATCGTGTGCTACTGCTTTAAACTATGAACGAGTTGATATATGGGAACAAAAACAGTCGGATAGAGTGGTTGTCAATTTCCTTTATCAAATTCCTTTTGTGTTTATGGGCACAAAACTTTGGGAACACAATGCAGTTAAAAAAAATCATTCTGGGGATTTTTCTCCCTTTAGTATCCCATTCGCACTGTGGGTACATGTGACCTTTTATCACATGCTTACAATATTGATTTGCTTGACCCAAGTCTTCCTTGAATATCGAGACTGAATGGCCTCTTACCTGGTCATAAATAAAGTAAATGAATGAACAATCAAATGTTGTTATGTCACGATACAAAGAAATGTCAATTCAGAACTCACGCAGAGAGCCGTTAGTGTCACACTATCTCGTGTGAGAGAATGGCTGGAGAAGGTGATGGCCGAGAAAATACTTCTCAAGTTCTTTCGGCAACCTCTCATCAAACAGTTGGTGACCCATTCTTGTATAGCCCCCGAAAAAAAGTGTCTACTGCAAGGCATTCAAACTGAAAATATTCATCCAAATCTATTAAAGTAATAACACGATGTAATAACATTTTTGTTCCTGGGTCGTAAGTGTTATTTCGTAATTGCTTATGCCTAAAAAGTATAAAAAGGGCTATTATTCCCCACAAACTTTTATTTTGTGACCAGGACAGTGATATTTTGAAATGTGCTTATTTTCAATGAGAAAACAGGCAAATTTGTGTCTTTTCGTTCACGTAAAGTAAAAAAACCATTAATCAAAATTAACATGTATTAATACTAAAGTAATAAAAAAAATACTACAAAAGATTTAGAAGTGAGTAGTTTTTCGAGATTTACGATTATGCTGTAAATCACTTTCACGAATCAGCCCCCAAATGTAGTCTCCCATCATGTTCTCGTTATACTGTCCTTGGTAGTGGCGTTCAAAGTCCAGTATATCCTGGTGGAAGCGCTCGCCTTGCTCCTCCTAGTACGCTCCCATGTTCTCCTTGAATCTATCAAAATGAGTATCAAAGACTTTGAGGAACATCCTACAGCCCATTATGCCGTCTCAACCAGCTCCACATAGTTTTCGACCTTGTGATTGCCCAGGAAGCCACGAACTACTGTGACAAAGCTGTTCCAAGCCGCTTTCTCCTTACTAGTGAGCTTCTTGGGGAATTCATTGCACTCCGGGATCTTCTTTATCTGTGGTCCGACGAAGACAGTGGCTTTGACCTTTGCCTCAGACAGCTCAGGTAAGAAGTCTTGAAGGTACTTGAAGGCTGCCGACTCCTTATCTACAGCTCTGACAAATTGTTTCATAAGGCCTAATTTGATGTGCAGTGGTGGCATCAGCAACTTCCGGCGGTCCACCAATGGCTGCCACTTGACGTTGTTCCTCCCCATAGAGAACTCGGTCCGCTGTGGCCAGTCGCGCCTGTGGTAGTGCGCCTTGGTGTCCCTGCTGTCCCAAAGGCAAAGATAGCAGGGAAACTTGGTAAAACCGCCTTGGACACCCATCAGGAATGCCACCATTTTGAAGTCCGCGATGACCTCCCAGCCATATTCATCATACTTCAAGGCGTCCAGCAAGGTCTTGATGCTGTTGTAATCCTCTTTGAGGTGCACCGAGTGAGCCAGAGGAAGAGACAGGTCCTTGTTATCATTATGGATCAGCACGGCTTTGAGGCTTCTGGATGAGCTGTCAATGAAGAGGCGCCACTCATTCTGGTTACAGGCGATTCCGATTGCCTAGAACAGACTGGTCACATTGTGGCAGAAGCAGAGCCCATCTTGACGGGTGAAGAAGCTGCAAAAAGGTTGGTGACGCTTGCTCTGATCTGCGACTTGCACACTTTCATCCAACCAGTTCCACTGCTTGAGCCTAGACGTCAAAAGCTCGGAATTGGACTTGGTGAGACTTAAGATCTCTGATCAAGTCGTTGAGGTCTTTTTGGTTGGGGTAGTATGGATATCTCTCCTCAGCTCCACCTCTGAAATTGTCATCTGGAT